ATAATATATATATATATATACATATATATATATATATAAATGTACTTTTTATTATAAATAATTTTTTTTCATGAAAAAATTAAACATGATTTTTATTTATAAAAAATTGAGGCCAGCCTAAAAATTTATAGGCAAGAGTTGGCACTGCTTGGAATCTCAAGAAGCTTGTTAGACAGGTTTGAGGATGAAGTTACAGGTTACTCGACCTTTGCTCTTAATAGTTTTCAAGCTAACTGTAGTTTGTGCAAGGTAGGCATCAAGCCTATGAGTTAGGAATTTTGAGGCTTAAGCTTAGATTAATTTACCCGTCCTTTGTTCTGAATGCATAAATATTGAATAGGTTTTGAAGGTTGCCATGCTCAAATTGTTCTCAAGGCAGTTCTAGTGTGCAAGTGTAGTCTCACAATTCCTTAAATCTTCTTTTTGACATGGGGGATTACATTGGGTATGACAATGATGAAAAATATGATGATATCAATTGAAGGGTAAGTTGACGAAATAATGCTTAATTTATTGTGTGCTAGTATGAGGATAAACCTAATGTGAGGCATTTTATTTTACTGGATTCAACATAAATCCAAGGATGTCACTTCCTAGAAATAAAATATTTTTATGCATTTGGTCATCTCTTTGCTTATCGAGAGCTATAAAAGATATCTAGCCCCTGGGCTAAGAGTGCAGTGTGTGATGTGTGGGTTCGACGCACGCTTGATATTTAAAGGGAGAGGGCAGAGGGGCGGGCCCACTACTTGCCTAAGTTTTGAACTGCACACTTTCCTTTATGATAAGGTAAATAATTTATTAACATTTGGGGAAAACCCCGTATACAAAAAGAACAAACCTAGATCAAAATATGATTCTACAGAAAGGAGATCCAATCTTCTAATACAAGTTAGGGTCTCTTGCGAACACCAAAATAAAATTAGAGCAAAATACTATTTTGCAACTTTACAATATTTTTTTCAACACCATTAAACACTGTCTTATTTTTCTCTTTCCATTTAACACCTCGGATTCGAAAAGACAAGAAAATTTTAGTTTTTAGAAATTTGGTGCCAGTTCCGACCTATCCACCTATGGCTCGTGGACTGACACACAGAGCGTAGTTTAGCTCCGTGGTTGGCCAGCCCAAGATCCCAAAAGTTGTCAAGTTCCAGTACTTAGTGACGGTTCACCAGGATGGCCCGTCATCCAATCCACGAGTTGTAGATAGGTTTCATAGGTGAGTCCCAGACTTAGAGAAATTTCAGAGTCACAGTCGAGAACGATGGCCGCGACCCACATCCCGTCGCCTTAACCATGGTCCGTAGGAAGGGGTCTGTCATTTGTGGTCCAATAATTGAGTCTCTGAAATCAACGATGGCCGACCAGGACGGTCCATAGGTGGAAGCGTGGACCGTAGGTGGAACCATGGACTGTAGGTCCCCACCGTCGTTGGTGACAATAGTTATTTTTTTTGGGGCTTCTTGGTCTTTTCCCCAAATTATTTTAATTCAATACCATGTCGTTTTGCCCTCTTTTATAACCCCTATATAAGTATTTCAACCCCAAAATTTACCCAATTCATTCTCTCAAATTTCTAAAAGAAGAGTAAGTCTTTCTCTCAAATATTTCCATCTCTAGAAGTTGAAGAAGAAAGTTAGGGTTTATAAGTCAAGTCTCCAATTCCACCATTGAAGTCAAGATTTTGAAATTGAGGTATGATAGTTTTCATCCATGGAGCCCTTTCCTCCATGGAGTTCCCAAATTCTCCAATTTACAAAGTTAGAATTCCCCCAATTGAGTTAGAATTTTCTTCCATGTCATGGGCTCTTTTAAATATTGATTTATTTGATTGTTTTATGATCTATCAAGCATGAATTAAGATAATTACATGATTTTATGTTTTCTAGATATTGATGATTAAAAGTGGGTTCTGAACTATGAAAGGTGAATTATGGAGTTATGCATGTTCTTATGGAATTGATGAGATGATGTAGATTGCTTTGAGAGTAAAAGCCATATATGTTGTTGTGGTTAATTGTTGTGAAAGTATTGCTCACATAGCTACCTCATGCATGAATGTGAAATGTTTTCTCACATAAAAGGATTCCAAGGTTGAAGGTCTTCTCATCTAAAATGAATCAAAGATAAGGAGCTATTCTAATGAAACCTAGCTTGAATTGGTTATTTAATTGTACCTTTCCATGCATGACATATGACTTTGCTTGGATTGGAAAGACGATGTGCCCTTCCATGGATAATAAAGGCAAGTTAAGAAATTACCTATTCTGTGGGATTTATGCTTGGCACCGAGAGAATATTGAGATGAGCTCCCGTTAGTAGAGGCCGGATTCAAAGATAAGGAGCTATTCTAATGAAACCTAGCTTGAATTGGTTATTTAATTGTACCTTTCCATGCATGACATATGACTTTGCTTGGATTGGAAAGACGATGTGCCCTTCCATGGATAATAAAGGCAAGTTAAGAAATTACCTATTCTGTGGGATTTATGCTTGGCACCGAGAGAATATTGAGATGAGCTCCCGTTAGTAGAGGCCGGATTTCTAGAAGCAATCTCTTTATCCCATACCTATGTGCTCCCATAGGATGATTGTCTTAGATAGGCATTAGCTAGTGGATCCACATAAGCTAGAAGTTCATGGTCTTACCTTGGCAAGTAGGATATCCCTTTTCGATGTGGGGTATACATCGGATTTCGTGTCGATAGCTCACATGGTCTTATATGTCGGTTAAAGATAAATCTCCCACAATAATGAATTAAGGTTACTTCAAGAAGTATCGCACATGTGACTCACGATGATGTCTATTTGCATTGACCATGTTTTATGACTTATGTCTTCTAGTCCATTTACATTCATGATTTAGCTTGGTGATTGCACTATATCAAAATGTCCCTTTTTTTTTCATGATTTCAAATGTTTTATGCATGACTATCATACTTGGTACATATTATGTACTAACACATACTTTTTCCTACATTTCCCCAAATATAGGGACCGACCTTACAGATTTGCACTTCCATGGCTAGGATCTCATATAGAAGTTTGAAGTTGGGGTGACTCCTCATATTTCAAGGACCGAGCTTGATTTTCCCTTTGTCTTTACTTTCAGTTTTGGAACTTGATGTACAGGCTACGCCCCGATAAACTCTTATGTACTAGAAGACTTTGAGACGATGTTTAGATTTCCATTTTTCTCTATAAAACTCGTATATATTAAAACTGTCTTTTAAAT